GTCAAATACGACAGTATAGAAATCGGAGGAGACTGAACCCAACGTGTATTGTGCAGGCTACAAGAATAGGAAGCGAATCAGACAGAGCGAGAAACGTGCAGCGAGGAGCTCACCAAAACGGTTTGTGACAACGGACGTGCAGTCAGTAAAACAACTGGACGTTTCGAAGGTTAAAACAAGCAAAAAATCCAATGTTACAAGACACTGAAAGGGCATGTTTTCTGATACACTACAAGGGCCTCCCCATAGAAGGCTGAAAGATGGAAACCTTCGATAGAGCTGTTAGTGGGGGAAAATGGAAGGTGAGGGGATGTGAATATTTGCAGAGGTTTGAGTAAGAGTTTCCAAAGTGGGTTGTGTAGCTGATTTCGCTGGGTCCAGGCTAACTCCGACCCATCGTCTCTTTATTATTATGCAAACCCTGATCGTGTGCGACCGATGGCACCACCGCCACCTCACAGATACATCCACACATCTCTGAGAGTGACTCTCGAGATCTTCTCTCAAAAAACAAAAACTCCCAAAACCAAACAACAACCAACAGCGCCGCACCTATCGATAAACAGGAGGAGGACACGCGCGCGTGCGCGAGATCTACCATACACAGCACTCCGATGCGAGAGCGAAAAATATCTATAAATCAGCCAAGGGCGAGCCTTTCGCCACATACGCGTCGTGCATAAAACACAGAGCGAGCGCACTTTGACGCTTCTCACAGACTCTCTGGGGAGGGGCCTGGACCCACCAAACAATCAAACCCCAACAACCCACACTACAACACAACGCAAAACGCCAAAGACCAAAACACTCATCTCCTTCGCGGACGCCAATCACCCCCCTTCACAACCGACCAAACTCGCCCCTCTGACCTGATGGACCACCTTCAGCTCTCTCACTCTCGCCCAGAAAATAATTCTCACAATGAAAAAACACCCACAACCTCCCAATCACTGAGCTGCTGAACGTGTGTGTCGTTCACCATCCAATCTCCACACAAAAAAGCAGTGGGGGGGTAACCTCTATCTCACTAACTATAGATATGCCCAGCCGGAGTCTAGCGATTATTTATGAGCTCGGGGGGTGTCTCTGAGAGAAGATGTGTGTGGTGGGGCGGGTAGATGGTGGGGGTTGGGGTGTGGGAGATAACCTATAATTTGAATTATGAAAGGTATGTGGAGGGTATTCTTTTGTGGAATTTGGGGTGGTGGCGTTGTTTTTTCTTACCTTCGAAACGTCCACTTGTTTTACTGACTGCACGTCCGTTGTCACAAACCGTTTTTGGTGAGTCTCCTCGCTGCACGTTTCTCGCTCTGTCTGATTCGCTTCCATATTCTTGTAGCCTGCACAATACCGTTGGGTTCAGTCGCCTCCGATTTCATATACTGTCGTATTTGACACGTCTTACGTGTCATTGCTTACCGACTAGTATCCCAGGTTCCGCCCAACAATGGCACGCAGACTATCTATCTATCGATGAGAGCCAAGGCTTCGGGTTTCCATTGTGAGACCTCAGAAGACGATACTGTAAATAAATAAATAAATATTTTATTCTTGACTAAACTAGCACGTCTTTTGGGCATGATCAGCATATATGCAATATTGTACACGATAGCATGCTTAGAAGTACCGAGAGCGGGAGTAGTACACAAGGAGTCAGTAGTGTGGGTTCATACGTCCCAAACGTTGTACGAAAGTCTATGTCCACAGAATGCGAGATGTAGAGATAAGAAATCAGATCACAGCCGTGGAGTATGTCTTAAAAG